GAGCTGATTATATATTGATACGTTATTAACTACAAACATTACCAGAATCTCAATTATATAAAGACACATTAGCTACAATATATCCTGATCCTCATATGACAGGAAAAATATTCAGTAACTATCCATTTTTTAAATGAAAACTGACATCACAAGATTCCACATCTTTAAGATTTAAAGATTTACATTTTTGGAGTGGGGAGAGTCAGACTGCTGTCAAATTCCCTAAAACAAATGTAGAAAAGAAAATAATGTTTTATTAAAAATATGCATCTATAAATACTTTTTTTCAGTGTCATCTATAACTGATACCTACTAGTTTCATCTCCAAAATAATACTAGACTATTTTTATAGTCCAAATTAGAATTTTATTAAAAGGTCCTGTAGTAATAAATTTGCACACCCTAAGACTTATAGAATATCATGGATTTTCTCTCTTCTGTGCTGATGATATTACTTAATATATTTGCCTGTCACTTGAAAGCATTCATCGTGAGAATATAAAATAAGTATTTCACAGAAATAGAAAATAAACATGACACAGACTGGGTATAAAGAAAAAAAAACATTTTCACTTCCCTGTTTACTAAAGGAAATGCTGAATATAATTTTAACTCTAATTTAAAGTCACAGTCTAATACACTGCCTATGACTTCAGTATCCCACCTGAAGTCAAACCAAACAAATTTAAAAAATAAACACAGTAATTTCAGAATATTCAGAATTTCACTAATTTTATAATATGTACCAAAAGATATATGGCCAATTTCAACTTAAAACTTTAAGATAAATAATTTTAATAAATCCAATTTTAAACATAAAGAAAAACACAAAGTGTCAATACATTTGAGGTACACTTTATTTAAGGTAATATACAAAGAATGCAAAGTTATGTATTAAAATCTAAGCTGGTAGAAAACACCTCCCACCCCAAGATTCTACTCTCCTCAAAAAAAAAAAAAAAATTACCGTTTTTTTCTAATGGTAGAAATAATGCACAGTAATAGCTGAAAACCCAAACACTACAGAGAATTATATGCAGCATAAAAACAAAAATCATCCTAAATCTCACCATTTATAAACAACTGTCATTAACATAAATACTTTCAGCAAATAGACGGATTAAAAACAAACCAAAAAAAAAACAGAAAATGGATGGATTTACTCCATATACTTAAAACCTACGCATATATGTATCTATGAATACATGTATTGTATATATGCACATATATATATATATTCCTTTCATTTACATATATTGAAGGTAAAGAAATGTTTAACATCATTTTCTTGAAAATAAAATAATACATTGTCCCAAACACTCACTGAGTCTGCTTCTGCATTTTCATTTAAGCAAGCTAGGTTTAAGATTATTGCGTGTGTGCGTGTGTGTGCGTGTGTGTGTGTGTGTGCGTGTGTGTGTGTGTGTGTGTGTGTGTGTGTGTATCTGTCTGTCTGTCTATGTGGTATTGTCATTACTGTTGACTGCTTGAGGTAAGTTGAAAAACTGTCAGTTTGCTTATTTTAAAAACCTCTGTCTACACTTTGTCCAAAGCCTAAGAACACACATATCTGTACTAAAGGTGATTAGCTGACTGATTTACAGTGGTAGCCCATGGTCCTGCAAAGTAGACAAGATTATTATGGCCTCCTAATTCTTATTCAGAAAGAGCACTACACTAGTAATTAGGATATGAGAGTTCTACTAATCAGGTGTGTGACTTAAGCATTTCAATCTTCCTATGAATCATTTTAATTATAAAATTCTATGGTTCTTCCCTTC